AACTGATTCGTGCAGCTTGCATCTTCCAGTTTTGACCTGATTAGTGAGTCAGAAACGGATGGCTCTTTCTGCCTTACTGTTCATTATCAGCCGAACACATCCAAAATTGACCATTTTCACCCGAGTCGAGGGCCTTGATTCAGGCTAACGTTCAGTGTTGAAGTACCTGCCTCTTCTGACGGAGAGCCAACTTCGCACGCCGTTGCTAATTATTAAGAAACTAATGGTCGTTCGCCTCTATGCAGCGGCCCTCTATGTGGATCTCAACTTAAAATCCACGAACTATTGAAGTGAAGGTGCTGCTCCTTTATGATCTTAACTTCGTCAGTAGGAACTCGCTGTGGTCGATCGCATTGCACGATGACCTGCCATAAAAACCATTCTCATTGCTTCAGGCGTACTGTCCTAAACGAAGAATCAAAGTCCATGTGAATGGGCAGGAGGGTTACTTCTTCAATGTCGCCTCTGCTTTTCTTCGAGACTGCGTTCCCTCCCCGGCCCTGTCCAGCTGGGTGCCAAGCCATCCCCACACCACAGTAGATCGTGGCCCACGCACTGCAGATGTTCAACGCGTTGACGACGCTGCGGTGCAGCCGAACTCCTTTTACTTAGCTGTGGTGTGTGGTGCCAAGCTAATCGAGATGAACTGCAAAGTACGCTATGCCAAGGCTAAGCTTATCGTCTCTGATGCCTCGGTCACAGATATGAGTTCGGATACAATGAATGCGGGGTCATTTGGGTTTGCATGCAGTTTATGTCATCTCGGGTAAGGGTGAAATCGACCGTCGGACCAACGTCTGCCCAGTTTTGTTGAAACCAGGTACTACCGTGGGATCAGTCAGAAAACGGAATGTAGAATGAACCAGTATGAGAGTCATTCTATTCAAATATTAATAATTACCCATGCCCACAGAAGATATTGACCCTCTTGAGGTCTTCGATCAGTGGTGGATGTTTTCCACTCTCTTGAATCACGTCTGCGAAGAACGCCTTGCAGCGCTCTTCATGCTCATCGACCGATATGCTATCGCATTCGAATTCGGTTCTCGGCCCTGAAGTCGATTGCGAGTTGACCTTGACAGTGTCTCTGGATCTACGGCTCTTTGCTTATTTATTTTATGTTTATCATTAGGAGGGGCCACATGCGTCGTGCATTCATCTGGTCGGACCTCCTCTACGGTTGAGAATGCTGGGCGTTTCTTTTGGCAAAATGGACGAAAACGAAAGTAGATAGTATTGCCGGCAAAGATAAGGGAGACTGGAATGGCCATTTCTGGCCTATTAGCTGTCGTCAGCCAGTCATATCCAGACTCCATTCAAGCCTCGAAATCAATATCGCCCAAGATAAACCGGTGAGACAAAGAGCTCGTGGCTCAGTGGTTAGGGCGTTTGACCCTGATCAAAAAGGTCGCGAGTTCGAGGCT